CCCTCTCTCCTTTCCCTCCCCCACCCTTTAAGCTGTTGAGTTTATATCAAGACGGCCCCTGATCCCACACACCCCTGTTTAGATGCAAATGACTGCGGGTGTCATGGCTGAGAAAAGCCATGGGTTATCTTGGTGCGGGTCTGCCTTTTCACAGCTCGTGTCAGGGGCTTAGCTGAACACACAAGGACCCCCGAAGGCAGCCCAGGCCCAGCTGCCTTTTCTGCACCTGGCCCCGTTGCCGTCACGCTCCTTGCAGCCGTGATCAGCGAGATGCTGCCCTGGCTGGCGCCGCTGGCAAGAGGCTTGAGACTCAGCAGGATTGAGGAGGACACTTCTGGAGAACCAGGAGCATCTTCCGGAGAAGGAGAGTGAGCGAAGGGCAGCTGCAGTGCAGGGAGGCAGGGGGAAGAGCTGTTCCCCAGTTGCTCCAGACATGGGCAAATGTGTGAGCTTGGTAAGGCTCCTGCCAAGCTCCTGCAGATCTGATCCTGCCTGCGGCTCAGAGATCTCTCCTTCATCCCAGGAGTCAGTCTCCAGATGCCTGTGGGGTGTTCTTGCCTTGTGCACTCACAACCAGCTCTTTCTGGGCACTGTGCTTTAACCAAAATCCCAGACTTTATCACTAAAACAGAGAACAGTAACTGCTTGCCCTTCCAGAGCAGCAGCAGGTCACCTGGCTTTTAATAAACACTGACCTTATTTGAAAAAGAAAAGAGAAGCAGAAGAGAGAGGAGGGAAAGCAGGTTTTTCTTCCCTCCTTGTCCCAGACTGCACACCTGCAGTATAAATCATCTTGGAGAATTTGCTTGTAAAAACATGGTCTTACCCCACATTCTGGGGTTGGTTTTTGTTTGTTTTTTTTTTTTTTCATAGCCCAGGTTAGGAAAAAAGCATGCAAAAAAACCCCACCCAAACTCAAACTTGCAGAAATATGATCAGTGACCCCTGGGAAACCAAAGCCTCCCCAGCTATGGCTGCCATGCGTTTTATGGCAAAATCGTGAGTCTCAATTTTGGGTAGGGCACGCGGGAGGAGATCAAGTCGGCCAGGCAGAACCCTTAGCCAGGGTCGTTGTTCAGCAGCCCCTGAACGGGAGCACTTCAGTCCCGGGGGGGTTGCTGTGCTGTGTTGCTGTTTATTGCTTTGCTGTGGATTTGAAGCCATGCAAGAGACTGTGAGAGGAGAGATCAGTCGTATGGTGACGCTGGGAAGAGAAGTGAGATGGGGATGTGATATGGGGCTATGGGGGGACCTGGGAGCAGGAATCCCTTGGGCTATTTCAGGGAAGGATGCCCTGTGCTTCCATACTGATGCCAGATCTCAGAGCCTGGACGATGTGCTCAGAAGGAACAACCAAGAAAGGCGTGAACCTGTGTGCCATGGGAGGGTCTGCACAGCTCCACCACGGCAAATGGCTCCATCGTTTTCCCACACTACATTGCTCTTCAGACTAAGCTCTGCGTGAATCAAAGCAACTGTGATTAACATGTTTGCAGTTCCTTTAAAATGAAGTTATCCTCATTTCTTTTCAAGCTGTATTAGAAATGATTTTCCATGCTATTGCAGTGATAGCTACACCTTTGAAGTTTTTTCCAAAATAACTTCAATTTACCTAAGGGAGTAGTAGATGAGATTAGCCTAAATGTTGCTCTTTGATACTTAGAGATGATTTCATCCAGGTAGTTATTATAGCCTAAATACTGGCTATTTTGGGCTTAGTATCTAATGTCTATTGGCCTAATGCACAGTGCAAACTGCAGTAGTGATTGCCATCTTAGTTTGAGTCTTGCTATTAATTAATTATTTGTAGTTTGAGCGGTTACACCCCTCCAAGTGCCTGGAAGGCAACAAGCAGTGCACAGAGCAATAGCTGCCCCAGGTGCTCAGAGCTTGGCCAGATATAAACCATGCAGCTGGCAATGGTCACAGTTCTGGGTTATGG